CCCTGTTATGTGCTACAAATTTAAATATAACCGTAACTCATCATGAAAGGAGTTGCTTATGCACTGTTGAATTTACTCAGCCAAGTTATATCAAGTGGTTCCAATAAACCGAGCTAAGTAAATTCAACACTTCATTTTTACAGTGTGTGTAAAAGTAGTTTTACTTTCACTTTTCCAAGTATTGTGAGRGGTTTTATGACTTTTACTGAAGTACCTCTTCTTATCAGTAYAATCCATTTTTACCAAAGTAATTTTCTGTTAAGGTATTTTTACTTTTACGTAGCATTTTTTTCCAAGTACTTTCTACACCTCTGGTTGTAACAATGCTTCTTGGAAATCTTATGCTATTGAAAAGCCTGTTAATTTCACTTTTAAATGGTTCCACATTTATAAGGAACATGCATCTGTGCATGCATCAGGTGATGGTATAAGATTTGCCAAAAAGCATTGTTACAACAGAGAAATAATCTACCAAACACACATTTTCTTACTTTTTGTGCCAAGTATAGCTTTCACAATATAATTAATAAAATGTATCCCACAGAAACAATACAATGAAACTGAACTGATTTTTTTAAATTTAAAGTTGCACTCAAACATCAATAAGCATTATTTCTTTAACTCATTTGAACCTAATTCTACTCTTCATCTGTCCTCCTAATTAACTTTAAAATCCAACAATGAATTTCATAATATATAAACGTAAAAAAAAGTAAATGTATAATCGCATTTACATCAATTAGAATGATTTTTTGGATTGGTTTATTGTGAGATAAATGCTTAAAAGCTTCAGTACAACTTTAGGCCAAACTTTTGATTTGCCATTAATATCCCAGTGATTACAGTCAAATGAAGCCTTCTCAGAAAAGAAGAAAAAATGCATTCCAACGTGGATTAAACCTTGAAGCAACACAGTGAAAAAGTATCTTCATGCCAACCTCTGACTCATAATCCTGCAGAGTGGGACAGAGCTGGAGGTCACTGTGCCACCTGCTACCTCCTTGGTTTTCTGGAGTGGGAGTTGACACTCGTCGAATAACTTTTCTGATCACCTGGCCGAAGCAGAATATTGACAAAAAAAAGATCTGACGGTTGGCCTGTTTTAAATAAAACTTTTACCCACACTGAATTTCAGAGGTAAATGAGACACAGGAAACCATTTATACATTACTTTTCTACTGATCAGATTCCCATCATGGTCCATATAGTGTTCCTCTGTCACAGACTCGCCCGGGATATTCTTTGCTTCTTCCCCCTGCAAGTGTTGGTGGTTAGCATATGCGCTATGATTTTTTGATGACAAAACAAGTCACGAAAACAGAAAAAAAATAATCCTTCCCCATCACCACACAAGGAAACCTCAAGAGAAAAGAATGTTCATGTCAGACAGACCCAGTTAGTATTCAGTCAAACACTGTGGTATGGTCAGTAGCAAACCTATCAGAACACAAAGCAAAAACTACCAGAGCACACACACACCAGATTTAGCAGTAAAAACTAAACTAAACCAAGCCAAACCCAGTGAGCCTCAGTTCCAGGCTTTCACCTTTAAAATAAGACGGCGTCTGAAGATTCTGGTGGTTACGGTCTGTTCTTCCTCTGAACCAGATTCTACACTAACTCGCTGTGGAGGGGATCACATAACAGTGTTACCTCACATTTTGTTAGTGTTTAAGCTGGAGCTCCCTGGTTGGATGTGTTGAACTAGAGAAACTTGGAATAGKATGGATGAGAAATTGCCTTTTCAAAAACTGAACCACAATGCAACATATTGATAACATACAGGAGATGAAAATAACGACTTTTTAAAAAACTTTTTTAGAACAGATTTCTTTTGTTAGATTAATTCATATCATTACCTGAACTTTTTTCTCTGACACCAGCGTTCCATCCTTCCTGCCACTTGATGATTCTGATGAGCCGTCCTGAGGTGAGTGCTTTGAATTATTGCCATTTGGCCGGGACCTCCCCGATTCTGCCCGAGACGAGGAAGTGATGGAGTCACTAGAGTTTTCATGGCTGTTTTGAGTAGAAACACAAAATGTCAAATTATCTTCTAAAATAAATTTTCAAAGTCTCTTCAGGTTCGTCAGATACTAGTTGTAAGGATTCTGGAATAGTTGCTACTTTACAGAAAACAGTTTTAATGGGAATGTTTGGTTTTATTTGTACCTTTCCTGTTTGTCGAGCAGGTCTGAGCTGACACTGCGGCCRGGCGTTGGCGGTTCCACGTTGACACTGGATGAATCACTGTGCCAACCTGAAAGTGAACAAATGTTTTTGTCTGCGTGTTCAACCTCTTCAGTACCCTTTGGATCTCTGGATTCCGTCATCTCTTTGTCGTCCTCCTCCTTTTCCTCTGAGCCTTTTTCTTCCTTCACCTCTTCCAATGGAGACGCTAATGCTTCATCTCGGATATCTTTGCTTCTCTCCTCCTCTTCTTCCTCATTAGATCCAGACTCACTGGGCTGGAGTTGCTTAAGTGCTTCAGTCCAGTCCTGAGGGGAAAGGTCAGCTACAGAATGATCTTCTTGTGCCAGATTTTCTCCTGATGTGAGAAAAACATCTTCTATACCTTTAAACTGAAGCTCTAAATCAGTGTCATGCTTTCTGTCTTCCTTCTGGAGGCCTTCTTCACAGCCCTCATGAACTTTTTGAATGCCAGATGTTTGATAGACATCCTCTTCGTCAGTTTCTGCTTCTGTTGCACCTTTTTCCATTTTAAAATCAGTTTCTATCAGGCTGAGAGTCAAACTTTGTATGTTTTCGATTCTCTCAACCTTGCATTCTTCCCCCTTCTCATTCATTTCATTTTTTCCCTGCTCAACAGACCACTTCTGTTCCACCAAAATGATATGTTCATCTGGCGTCTTAGACCTGTCTTTTGTGATCATCTCGCATTTTCTTTCCACATTTTTGATCAAATCCCGTTCAACCCACTTTTCCACTAACCTGTTTTCCTCAGCTAACTGCGCTGCAACCATCTCAACAACTCTCTCCATTTCTTTTGTCACTTCCATTTCCGTTGCTTTCCAACCAGCAACCTCCTTCACTTGATTCAAGACGCCCGGTCGTTCTCCTCCATCACTCAGTTGTGCTCGGTCAGGGGTTGATGGAGTTATCGATGACACGGATGACATTGAAGGGGAGGATGTAGAGTACGCCATGTCAAAGTCCAAGTCACACAAAGGTGGGAAGGACGGTGACCTCGGCTTGTGGGCAGTCTCCACCTCATGAACAGACTTGTCTTCCTCTTCGCTCAAAAGCAGCTGGTCGTTCAAAGCAATGTGGGGCTTTCGGATCTTAGACGGATCGGGCTCAGGAAGTTCGAAGGTAGGGATGCTCAGGGCAAGCTCGCAAGGTCTGGGGGGACTTTTAGGAGGGCTGTCTGGCTCTCCGCTACAAGGCTCCACCTCTGGACTCCAGGGCGGAGGCTGAGGCTGGGTGTTGGTGTGTAAGGGGGTGTCTAAATCTGGGTAATGGTACGGTTGATGGTGGGCAAGGGTAGGGTTTGGGGTGACTGGGAGTTCAGGTTCCAAGAAGCAGGGGTTGGACTGCAGAGCGGCAGGAGACTGCAGCTCCGTGAGAATGCTCTGATAATCTGCAGGTGACAGGATGACAAATGTACAGACAAACACATATGGAAGCCACAAAAGCATACAACACACACAAAACTACTCCACTGAAATCTTAGCACAAACATCAAATGACAATATGACATGGACACAGAGACTAAAGTGCAAAGCATGTACCCAGGAAACCACTAGGATGTGTTCCAATAATATGCGACCCCCACCAAAAAATAAAATAAAATAAAAATAAAAAATACACAAATACAAACAATTCATGTACAATAGTATTTTAATACGTATTTTGACATTAGTTTGAAAGATTACTTTAGATTTAATATTAATTCTGTCATTCAGAAAGTGTTAATGCTCCAGTTTTAGAAAGGTAAAATGCTAAAAGTGGAACACATTAGTGGCACCACAAGACTACTTCAGTCGTAGCAAGAAATATGATCAGATTAAAAAAGCAATTGCCAGGGTGTTCTCTCACATGCTCACATGATGGAAATGACAGATGAGAGATATGAACAGGAATGAGTCAAAAAGAAGATACAAGACAAAACAAAACAAACAAAAAAAAAAACGAGAGAGCACTCTAAATGAATATTTCCATTTTAGATGGATCATTGCGAGTTCGAGCGGGAGGTGGGGTGACTGAAGGCGCGCACTTGCACTGGCAAATAGGACAGGGAGACAGGGAGCGGAGAGGGGGTGAGGGAGGACTGGGGCTGGGACAACGAGAGCCCGAGGGGGAGACGGGAGGAAGAGTGCAAATGGAGAGAGGGGAAACGGGGCGGGAGGAGGAGAAGGAGGCCAGGTGAGCCACTAAAGACTCTTTGCTTGGAGAGATGCTGATGGAAGGGGATGTTGAGGCTGGGGTTGAAGACAGGTTGGGCGCAGCAGGGGTAGTGGSATCACCAGAGGAACATATGGAGGTGGTTTTGATGGTGGATGTAGGGTCAGAAGACAAGCCAGGTAATGTGAGTGAAAGAGTGATAAGTTCTGCTTGGGGAAGGATTGAAGTGGGTGTGGCTGGGACGGATAAAGGAGAAGTCGGAACAGATGTGGTTGAAAAAGATGATGGCGAGTTAGGGGCAGAATAAGGTAACGGTGAGGTGATCAGAGGGATAGGGGAGGACAGACAGGGAAAGAAAGAAAAAGCAGGGGATTGACAAGACTCTGCAGGGTAGCTCTGAGGAACAAGGCGCGAGGAATAAGAGCAGAGGAAGGTGGATCGAGAAGGCTCATGTGACACTGAAGGTGCCAAGTCTTTCAGCGAAATGGAAGACTCATAACTTGGGGAACGACGTGAGGAAAAGAGAGGGCAGTTAGCTGCTGCAGCAGGTATGAGGGGGGTAGGTGGAGGAGTTGGTGTCGGTGTTGGAAAAAAGGGACTTTGAGCACTCAGGATAAAGGCTCCTGTGCTCCTGGGAGTTAAGGGGATAATTACACACACTGTGGAAAATGGAAAGAGGAAACAAACATGCAAAGGCAAATAGGAGTTGGAGAAAAAGAGAGAAAAACACATTAAACACTGAAAAACATGAAACATGCTTGTGAATGAGACAAAGAATGAATAATGTGGATAAATTGGGGAAACACACATGTGGTGGCTCTTAATTTGGTTAAGAGCTTGTGTATGCTGTTATCAGCAGCTCATAGTATTATGGGGAAGTAAAGGGATGCAGGAGGAGGAGGAGGAGGAGGAGGAGGAGAGGCAGTTTGGTTTCACAGATTCTCTCATCTATCCAAGGAAGGCTCAGAGGAACTGGAGGAGAACTAGAAGAGCTTAGCTAAATAAATGGAGAAAAGCAGACACTACATAGTTAAAAGAAATTCTAAACAAGTCAGACTTAACTGAGGAACATTTGTAGCAGTTTTTAGTATGCAACATGCACTAAAAGAAGTGCACTAGGACTCACACAGTAATATAACAAAAATGGTAGCAGGGAGAGGTAAGAAATCAGCTAAGCAGAGGTGAACTTTACCGTCAGCATGATCCCGGAAAACAGCATTATCATCGGCAAAACATCTCGTGCCTGAAACATTGCCATAGTCAAATATTGGACCCTCCAGTAATGTCACAATATCCATTCGATTGACTTTGGTTAACACTGTTGATAAGGCATCCGCTGTGGGAAAAACAAAGAAAGAAAGGTTTGTCAAAAACAAACAAAAATAACTATTAACAAGGAAATTCTGTGCAAAAACAAATTAATTGGTTGCTTTATTAATTGTAAAAGCTTTTCTAATTAGGTTTGAAAACAAATAATGAATGGATGTCACGGCAAGAGAAACATGAAAAGCGAGAGGACGGTACACGACAGTGAGGAAATGAATCCTAAAAAGCTAGAACCTTCACCCCCACTAAAGTGAAAAACTTTTTTGTCTTTGATAAAATGCAGGACTGTAACACAGTGMAAAGAAAATAGTGAGATCTCCAGATGTAAGAATTTGACTTACTTGTGGCATTTTTCCCTTCTCGGCTGACCCATTTTTTCAGAAGCATGAAGCTTTGTGCTGTCAGAGAGTTGGGGTTCTCAAGCCTGATGTGGTTGATCTCATCCACTGTGAAGTTCATCTCCCGAGCCAGCTCTGTGTAGTGACATAAAACACACAAAATATAACCTAGCCCAAAAACAAAACTCAAAAGTGCTATCACTTTTTTTTTACGAATTTAAAATCTTTCACTTTAACATGAATGCACTTCAACATTTGCTGTGGTGCTTCAATTAGTCCAAAGACCACAGAAAACACAATTCGAGATGAAATAATTGACAAAATCTAGGTTATTAGAAAAAGGGGTGATGCAAATTGACTCACCTGTCCAACTGAGTCCCAGGTGATCTGCAACAATAGCCATGCGCAAGTCTGTACGCTCACAAGGACTTTGAGGACCTGGTAATAAAAGAGGATAGTGGAACATTAACATAATGAACATTCTTCATCCCCTTTATGTTAATGTGAGAGAAAATTAAATGAGCCATTTTCCTTTTTTGGCCACTTGCTCATCTCAAAATCTTAAAATCCACTGGTACAAAATTGATTAAATTATTTTGGCTGCATCTCATCAAGTAATTGATTATATAGCAGTAATTTACGACAAAGAAAAGAATTTGGTCCGAATTTTAAGCAGTAGTTAGAATTTAAAGTAGTATTTACTCCAAGGTGGCAAGAAAAGGATATTTTGTACTACAGAAATTATGGTAAACTTAAATGTGTCTATAAAAGTAAGTGGTGCTCTGTGACTATTTGTGGCATGTATCCTTTAAGCAGGCAGTAACTCTCATGACAAATACACAAAACAAAGCACAATATGATCCTCAATGATGGACTTATAATTCTACAAATCTAAATGTGACCATGCAAACACACTACTTTGTGTTATTTGTAAACACTGGTTAGTCTCAAGGACAGTTATGTGAAAAAAAACAACAACTATTACAATAGATCAGTAACCATCCTGCACAGACAAATAGACAGATAGACCAAGAAATTGTCAAACATAGGACTGGTTGTGCCAGTGTCCATTCATCTCTACTGACATGCTTGCTTTTTTATGTTTAACAGGGTTGAAAAAGGAAAAAAGGAGGAAAGAGAATCTTGTGACACTGACAGCACAGTACACAGTACATCAATGACAAAAAATAAATTTAAATGACAGCTACTGTTTTGAGGAGAGTATGTAAAACACGCCACAGGCATTCCATCAATCCATTAAATGATCACAACAACGTCATGCAACTAAAAGTGAAATATTCAACTATATAGATGTAATTTAAACATAGTGTGAAAGTTTTACAAACTAGGCTTGATCTCCGCGATGGGAGGTGTTCGAGACCCTGTGAGTCCCTGACTGCCCTCCTTCCCACCAGTCCGCCTACTCCTCCTGCTCCTCTCACTGCCGGAAGCCCTGTCCGTCGTCGCCACCTTTGCCCTTATGGATGCGGCCCCGGCCTCAGCCCTCGAACCTCTACCAGACCTGGATGAGCGGGAGGGCTGGGAGGGCTGGGAAGGCTGGGAGGCGTCCGACAGAGAGGTGCTTCGGGAGGTGCTGTCTTCCTCCGACTGCTCTGTCTGCGTCTTTTTGTCCTCGTCTGACAGGCGGTCCACCAACTTTATCGTCTCCCCGCTAATGTCCTTAAAGTACTCGATGGTGCGCTTACAAAGCTCACTAGGGTTTTCCTGTCTGTTCTGTCTAGATGTTCCCTCACTTGTGACACTGCTGAGTTGATGTCTGTCCTTAAGTGGTAATCTTGTGGGCAACTTTATGGCTGTTCTTTCTGTGTTCAATGTTTTCATTGGTTGTGAGGTAATTCTAACTGAAACAGGTAAGCTAGCTGTTGCAGCCAGACTACACTTTTTAACATCTTTGATTGGTATCCTTGATCTAGGCTCAACTTTGGCTATGACTGGCGTTCCTTTTTTCCTCATCTCAACTTTTACTGCTTGTTTAGGCTTCTGCTTGCCAATGGCTGTTCCATGTGTATGAAACGACCACCCTGATGCTTTAACTGGAAGCCTTGACTTAGGCTGCTTGACCTCATTTTCTTTAATGGTTTCACTTTTCTGCTCCTGGCTGCTGTTGTGCACCTCCACTCTCTCAATCTTATCTCTACAGCATAATGTTTCTATTCTGCTAGCTTTTTGAAGGGTGGGCTCAGAAGAGGACTGCAAATTAAATACCACACTGCCACATTGAATATAGTTGGCCTGAACACTTGAGGACTCAAGGTTATTGTTGTTGTTGGAGTTTTCAGAAGGGTAGTCTCTCTTTTCTTGCCTTGACTCAGCATGACTGCTATGCTGTTTCTCTGTACACTGACTCTTTATACTAATGTATTCTGGCACCATCTGACCCTCTGATATTTCAGCTTTACAATCGGTGAGATCCCCTGAATCTTTTTTCACAGTTATTGAGGCAGCTATGCCCATCTTAATAGGAGTTCGTAATTTGGAATCAACCTTAGAGGCTGTGATTGTGCAGGATGAGGCAGTCTCAGCTATGGCTTCACAAGCAGGAATATCAGTACCAGCAAAGCCTGTGTCACTGCCAGGCTGTGCAGAGATGCATTTTGCTGTTGTTGCTGCTGGTGTTGTTGATGTAGTATTGCTGTCTAAGGTAGTATCACTAGTAGCTAGAACCTTCACTTTCCCATCTACTGAGGATTTCTCTCCTGTTTTTGATGGAGAGGAAAGTACCCCCAGGATTTTGCCCCCTCTCCCCTTTTCCCCTGTTTTAGGGTCAGAGGAATGCTCACCAATCTGGAAAAACTGAAGTCTCTCTTCAACAAAGTCCCGCTTGCTCATGTCAATAGCACCACTGCGGGTCATCTCAAACATCTTCCCTTCATGGAAAGGAAAGGGGTTAGGTTCACTAGTCGGTGTACTCTCATCAGTTGGTGTTCGGGCAGGGGTTGTGTCTGGTGTTGTAGCCTGCGATTTATCCTCCACTGATAAACTGAAGGGCTTGGGGTCCTCTTCTTTTGTTTTGGACTCAAAAACCCCTTCATTATCAACCCCTTTTGTTGACCAAGGATCAAAGTCCAGACCTTTGGTGGCAACAGTTTTAAAAGTTGAATTCAGCTCTTCCTGAAGTTGGTATCCAAAATAATTTTCTGCAAAACTCTGCCTGTCAGGGTGTCTTCCTTCAAGGGTATAGTCTTTGTCATCTCCACCACCTTTTGCTGCAGCTTGGTTGCCTTTAGTCTTTCCATTATCCCCTCCTTCCTCATATTTTTCTTCTTCTATCACTTCAAGTTTAGATTGACCAAATYAGCGATCAGCCGTTTTTCCATCAGTAGACAAACTAGATGTTTTGGGGTCCTCACTCAGTCCATCATCTTCATCCTGAAGGTCATATCCGTCTAAAGAGTCAATTTCAGTTGCATCTGTGTCATGGGAGAACTCAGCTGTGGTTGCTATGGAACAGTCAGTAACTGACTGGTCGTTGCCATTTTGTTCAAAGTCAATATCCTCCCCCTTTACTACACCATTAACTCCAGATTCCTTATTATTTCCATTTTTCTCTGACCGTTTGGGTTTCAGGTGTTTTTCTCCTTCTTCTTTCATTTTAAAGGTATACTTTTTGACAGGGATGGGATGGAAGACAGACTCATCATCACTAGAATCACTATTATCAGCTCCAGGGGGTACAGGGGATGGTGGCTGAACTCTGATGATTGGCTCAGCTAAAAAATGCCTGTCATGCTCTTCTTGTAAGTTTACCTCCATCATATCCGTCTCTGTGTGAGAAGCAGCACATGAAGCTATTTTCTCAACTTTAGAATGCTCTGCTTCTAAAGGAGGAGGGGGTGGAAACTCTATATATGCAACTCTGTTGTCCTTTGGCTTTCCTCTTTCTTCATCCTGCTTTTGATTATGGTTCTCTGAAGCAGCTGGCTTGGACCTTTCCTTTGAGGGATCTTTATAGATAAAGGTTTTTCCCTCTTCCTCCTCAGACTCCTCTGGGATGGTGCTTGGCATGCCTGCCATGAACCCTATCACAGAGTCTGGTGTTCTGGATGCCAGGCTTATTTCCTCTGAGCTGGGGGTCTCAGGGGTGACAGGGCTTTTCCCAGAACTATCCATGAAAGTAACTTGCTCTAGAGTGTCATCTTCTGGACTTCCTTGAGGAGATGAAACCTGCTTTTGTTTGACAGTGTAAAATGTACCTCTAGTTTCATGCACTGTCCTACTCTCATGACTTACTATCTTTTTGTATGTGCCCAGCTGCCCTGAGGTTGTTTCTTTCTCATATTGCTTTCCTACTTGTATGCTGACATACACTGGTAAGGGTTTAATGTCTTTGAAACCCTCAGTGACAACTACAGGAGTTACTTGGTCCAAATATTCTACTTGGTCATCATCAACACCATTACACACTACATTTGACTGGCTACTTTCTGAKGATGTAGACTTTCCTACCGAGGATCCACGAGTAGACTTATTGGATTCAGAGCTACTGTTTAACCGATTTTTAGTTAAAGTAGGTGTATGAGACCTTGAATTTTCATGTGGCCCATCTAATTTTAAAGAGGCAGTTTTGTGATTTTCTGAAAAATTAGACAATTTTCTTACAGGAATTTGTGATTCCGAGTTTTTTTTTAGACCATCATTGCTATTCGGACTTTCTCTAACAACAAATTCTGAATAGATTACTTTTTTAGTAGTGTCTTGTCTTTGGTCACTGCTACTGCAGTCTTTTGTAGTATCATGAACTGAAGATTTAGATAGTTTTGGAGAAGGGGGATTAGATGGTTTATACCCTTGGCTTTCCCATGCTTTGAACATTTTTTCTTCCTGATCTTTTCCACTGGTTTCATGCTTGGGTGAAAACTTATTTATTTCTGTCTCCAAACATTTCCTTTGGTTACCTGGACTATTTGGTGCTTTTGGCATACTAGAACCTGCAAACACCTGATATACAGGTAACTTAGTTTCCTGAAGCTTTCTGACAGGAGGGTTTGAATTTTGGCCAGCTTGAGGACTCCTATCTTGCTTTTGAGCCTCTTGCTCAAATTTTAGCCTTACTGCACTAACTTTAGAGGAAGACATTTGAAATGGTTTTGTAGTTTCACCTACACTTCCCTCTGCTTTACCATCACTTTGCTTTCTTGAGTCTGCATCACTGAATTGCAGCAATACTCTTCTTTCTGGACTGCTGGGTAAACTGGCACATTTTCTGTCACTAGAGCCAAACCTGTCTCTTAGCCTCTCTCTGCTCCAGTCCTCACCACTACCCCCACTTCTATAAGGCGACCTTTCTGGGCTACTCTGTGTTGAACTAGGCCCTGATCGTGATTCTTTGAAATCTGGTCTGCGAGATTTCTTCTCGGGAGATGAGAGCTCATCATTGAGCTGTTCTGTTCTATCTCGAAAGAACTGAGAAACTTCACTGAGTTTCTCCTCTGCCTCTTTTACAGTCCTATCCATTCTGTCCTCATATACAATTTGTTCTTTATCTTTAACTTGTGTGTCATCTGACACACGCATCCAGACAGATTGCTTTGGGCTGCCAGGCTCAGAAGAGTACTGTAAAAGTGTAAGTTTGTCATAGTTATCATCAACATTGGCCATTCGTCCAGATTTGTCAAAAACATTCCTTGATGACCTAAATACATACTCTGTTCTTGGCCCAAGTGACCTACCCCGACTGTGATTGCCTCTGTCTGGTGAATGGACCCCAGACCTATCTCTCAAATATTCCTCTGTGTCTGAATGAGACTGATTAAATTTCTCAGAAAGCAGCATTTTTTCTGCAAAATTGTATGATTCTCCCCTAAGTTCAGATGATTCATCTTCATGGTATTCTACAGATTGCTGGCTAAGTAGTTTTAATGTTTTGTATGAGTCATCTGTCATAAGCTGAGCTGAACTAGGTCGACTGTCTTCTTCCTGTGACATTGGTGTGCTCACTCTGGGGGAATCAAGGTATACTGGAAGTGACTCTTCAGGCTCATCGTTTTCTTGTCTGCTTCCTGGGCAGTAAAACATTTCTTTTTCTGCATGGTTTTTTGTCTCTCTGATAATTACTTCTGTTGGTTCTGTTTTATTGCCCTTTTCAATATGAACCTCAATTATTCTTTCAATCTTAGGTTTGGAGTTGATATCTTCAATGACTCTTAGTGATGCATCTTCATTCATAGACTTGTGCTCAAACAGTCCAGCCAGTTCTCTAGATGGGTCTTTCCCAGATTGAAAAGCCTTCATTATGTCTCGCACAGACATTGTTTCTTCACATCTCTCTGATGTTGCCTCTATGCCAGGTGGTTTGTGGTACACCATCCTGGTGGTGGTAGTGATGTGAGTTTCTTCCTTTACCCTCATCCCTTTACCCATAGGATCTTCATCAGGGCTGGCTTTCACTGAATAGCACTTATGTTGGTCTGGACTTGATGGACATGAACTCTGATTCCCTTTAAAATCTGAATCGATTATTCTGGCAGAATTTGCATCCTCCATTGGAGGTTGGTTCTCATCCTCTGGTTCATAGCTCCTGATGACATGCACTACTTCAGTCCTAGTCTCAGTGATTACTGGTGGAACTGGGATATCCTGAAAAAGGCCCTTGGGACCCATGCCTTCTGCACTTTGAGGGGCAGATGGTGTCCTCTCACTCCTGGTCTCAAATCCACTGTCTGAGAGAGGACTTTTATCTTGCTCATGCAAAATATCGTCTGGAGATTCTAGCACCATGTCTCCTCCAAAAAGTGCATCTGCTACTTTACTAATTTCTTTTTCTGAAGGTGAAGATCGGATGTTTGTTGGAGGCATTTTGAGCTTATGCTCCTGTACTGCTATAGTTGGTTTCAAGATTCGTTTCTGCTTCTCCTTGCCCTCTACTTCTCTTTTGTCTTCATCTACTTTATTCCTAGTGTTGTGTATTTTGGAAAATGAGCTGCTCCCAACATCACTGGCTAAGTAGTCAACTACTTTGGAGAGATTAAAATCTCTGTCAGGTATTGTTTTTGATCTGGCCTCAGAAACCACAGTTTCATATCTTGGTGGATAGCTCCAATTGCTTGGTGGTTGCTCAACTTGTAACTTCGAAAAATGTATGTCATCCAGTGAACCTCTTGCTAGAGAAGTTCTACCATCTTTGCCGGGATCTTTTGTCAGGATTTCGCTTACTTTTACCAGGTCTTGTTTTACTTTCTCCACAATCCGATATGGCTCCTCTTCTTCCATCTTAGCTTCCTTGGAAGAATTTGTGTTGAATCCTTTGCTGGCTGTAGAATTGGGGTCTGTTTGTAAAATGGCAGACATTCGTATCAAATCCTCTTTCATTTCAGCTACATCCTTCAGAATCTCTTGGCTGGATGATAATGGTGATGTAGTGATAGATTTGATGCTAGCAGGAATAAGGGAAGTTTTGATGGGGGAGAGAGTTCTTGCAAAGGAGGACTGGGTGTTCATGTCAGAGGGAATAGTTTTTCTGGGCGACAGAAGAGCAGCAGCAGATTTGGACACCTCAGGTAACTTTTTAAACTGGGGCTCTGGCAGCACATTGATAACAGAGTAAACTGGGACAGTCATTGTACTTGAGGTTACAGCAGTGGTGACATTAGGAGAGGATCTAAGGGAGGTGTAAAGAGAACCAGAAGCTGATGACCTAATAGACTGATATGAGGAGGATGCAGAAGAGGACAATGACTTGAGGGTGCCATAGCCAGCAGAGCAAGAATTGAATGTCTTTTCAACCTCATCAAAGGCTGCATTGACACTTGTAGTAGCGGCATTAGTGGTTGCTTGTATTCTTTCTTGCAGACTGCTGGTGAGATGAGATGTTGGGGAAGAAGAGCAGTACTGTGAAGGTGACACAGAGCCATTGATTAGAGCTGCAGCACTTGGAGAGTTGTTGGATTTCAATGTGGATGAAAGAGAAGAAAACAAATTCCTTGCAGGACTAGTGGCATTCGAGGCAAAAGAGCGCACAGAGGAAAGACCAGGGACTGTTTTTATGGGTGAGGAGGAAGCTGATGTGCTAGCAGAACTTCCCACTATAGTTTTGTATTGGAGGGGAGAGCTGAACATACTTAGAGAAGATTTAGGAGATGTTGGTGGAGTCAAGCCCATTGCTGTTCTTTCAAGATGAGTGCCTCCTCCTGAAGCAGTAATGGGAGAGGTCCTAGCAGACAATACCCCCAATCCTTTCATGGACAAAGGATCTGGGACACTTTTACCTGGTGAGGCCAGGGGACTGGGGGTAACCTGGATAGGGTACTGGGGTTGGCCAATTACACTTTTTATTGGAGAGGAAATGGTTCTGTAAGATCGGATGGGAGAGGCCGTGTCACTAGCTGACTTTACAGAGGAAGCGGGTGATCCAGGAATGTTGGTCTTGATGGGAGAGACAGAGTTGATGGACCAGACAGATTTTAATGGAGAGGCAGAAGGCGTGTTGGATGATGAACTGGAGAGGGAGCCAAACCCAGATTTGGCTTGGCCAGGGAGGGCGACAGGAACAGGTGACCACGCCTGATAAGATCTTGTTGAAAAGACAGGTTTGTGAGGGTAGCTAGAAGGCTGCGTTCTCGGCGTGCTTCGATCAGTTGTTTCTTCAATAATAATTCAAATTAAAACAATAAAGAAGTAAACATAAAATTAACATAAAATAATTGGAAATAAAACATAAAAACCAGAAAGAGAAATTTGAGTCAGTTAAAAAAAGGGCATTATGCACAATAGAAAAGGTAAAATTTTACACAAAAATTGTAAGATAGGTTTATATGTGAAATAATGTGGACTCAAAGACAAAAGGTACAGAATGGAGAGTGGAGAACAATAAAAATGCTTGACACATGGTATGAGTGACAATAATGACATGAAAAAAGATAAAAAAAAATAGAAAAATACAATTCCATTGACTTTTGTTGTGCTCAATTTGTCTTGCTCCTGGCCACAGTGCCTTTTACAATGCATGTCTGAATAAAATGTTTTTTCCTTTCATTCAGTGCACTTTCAATGCCAGAGGACCCCACAAGTGTATATTTTTTTCATAAAAAGATGAWTATCTTAATCCTTTGGATGTTACTAAAATATGTAGTTGCACTTTACAAAGATGTAACAGGAATTTAGGCAATCATACCTATTTTGAATGTCCTAAAAACATGTTCTGAAGTCAGAACTGTAAATATTTTTAACTATAAAAAGCAAAAGTGCATTTTTATATTTTCAAAATAGCATCATTGTATGAAAAATACTTCCAAAGTAAAGTGCAACCTGTTAGGTACTAAAATACACAGCCGCACACAATCATAAAGCCAATAAAAAATAGTGAAATGATGACTAATTGCGATAATTCATTTGTTTATTTTTATTCCACATAAATTTCAAATGATAAAGGAACAGACACAATTTACAAATGTTTCCACAAATGTAAAAATAACAGTTGAAACAGAGACATTTTTTCAACATGGGGTAGGTAAGCGAAGCATAACACACAAACACACACACAAACCATGCAAGTGACTGATGTACGGTGATGTCATAGGACCATGTGGCTGAGTGATGATCACGTAATCTGTTTCTACTCTGTTTTAATCTGTTAGGTGTATGTAATGAAAAAAAAACAATACTACCTTCATGTAATAAAAATTCCAAACACTAAAACTAATTGAAGTTGCAACACAATCTAAAATCAATTAAAAACGTATTGAAAATAAAGATGGGAAACTCACTCGCTGCTGGGTCAGTCAAATAGCTGTAGCGCTTACGCAAAGCTAAGGAGGCAAAGGTATGACGTCGTTCTGGCTTTTCAGTCTGGAACAAATAAAAACATTTAAAAAAAGCTTTCAACATAAAAAAATATGAGAAAATGTTTTAACCTATTAATTAAAATCCCCATTCTCAAATTATATTCAGTGCAGTTCATTCTTGTTTTTAGTGACCCATGCTGTTAGTACTAGCAATAGGAGGTGCTGCGCATTTTTTTTGTTAATCATGTTATTGTTATTATCTGCATATGCCTTCCTCAGTTCACTGACAAAGGTGAGGACAAGGTTACCTTTTTGAATGAAACCAAAGAGTGAAATGTGTGCCAAATTGTATACTTTTATCATAAGGCTTGTTTTTATATTTATAGCAATGAATGTCACCTGGGCATTCAGTAGGCTTGTGTGCTCAACTGATTCATGGAAATTACAATTACAGATTGCATGGCTACTATCTATAATATGAATTGTGAAACCGGCACCATTTACTCAACTCTTACGGCATGCAGCTGTGTCAGTATTTTTTTCACACACAAGTCTATAACACAGGGGGAGAACAAGGGCAACAACACACTGTGAACAAACGTTAAAGGCTACAGGCTCCAGGAGGCGTGTTTAGTTGATTAATAGAAAATAAATCCCTAGGAGTTAGTAGTAAATGTGAGGTCCACTTCTAAATGTTTTGGAAAGAGATGAGTAATAGGAAGAGATGTGGCACATAAATTGGATCTTCTGAACTTAGGGCAGATTTAAAAAAGCTTTGCTGACTAAAACATTTGCCATTCTCTTCATGCACTTCGCTGGGTAATTTTATTATTATTATTATTATCGTAGCTATGTAGGTAAAAAAAAAAAAAGCAAGCTGTCAGCAGCATTTCACAGACTCGGGCACTGCACAGAGACAAAAATTTTCGCAACACTTATTAACGAATTGGCGATAAAGGCAACAAAAAGAGTGACTGATAAGAAGCAGTTCCATGTGATGATGAAGAATTTGTTTACCTCATCATCAGGATCAGACTCCATATCCTGTGGTATTTCCAAGATGCATTGCAGGGGAGGAGAGGAGAGATGACACAATGGACAGCAGGGGAGTTATAGTGAGCGGGGAGGGGGTGTTTGGAAAACAAAATTCGGGATGAAAATGGAGCAGCAAAAACAACAAAGTGCTTCAGAAAAAGTCTATGGGGTTAATACATAAAACAAATAGCAAAGTAACAAAAGCAAAAGCAAAACAGTTGCAGGTTTTTGTAATCAATCAACGCCACAACAAACAGATTTTTTTTGCCTTACTCTTGTGTGCCCACAGTGAGCCAAGCAACAAATCAAAGCATGATGTGCACCTGCGGCTCCATGTGTACGTTGTGGGGTCTTGTGACTGGCACAGGCTTTACTATTATTAAAAGACACAAGCAGCAGGCAGTCGTCTCCAAACCAAACGTGCCTCAGTGGCTTCTCTTTATGTCTGGACAGCATCACTATCTGTCTGGCAGCTTTATTTCCATGTGGATGACATGATATGGCCTTACAGGATGAGAAGTTCAAATATGGTGATCCTACCTTCTTGTGGGTTGGCAGTGTGATATTTAAATTGCATATGGCAGTCTGTGGAAGGCCTTTTGTGGATTTGGGTTCTCTCAGGAAGGAGAGACGGCCACATGGCTCCTGGCCCATGTCTCTGATCTGTAGATGATAGCAAAAAAAAGTTGCATCAGCAGCTGAACAACACCTTAAAATCTTTTTTTCCCCACATTTGCCATTCTAAATGTGCTGGGAAAAAAATAAAAATCAGAAGGCAAATAATAGCATTTATTTTTTTAAACCCCATCATTTATATGACTTTTTAAGCATTTCCTAATGGACTGCACAAGAGCATTCTATTGTTATAAACACCAGCTACCATAATAATCCCATGCTAGCAGACAGGTGTGGCGACAGGTGGGACATGTTCTATACCTTCACGTTGAAAGGAAGTCTGTTTTCCTTGAAAGAGTAGAAGTTAAAAACCAACTGCTGCCCACTTTTGGTGAGAGGTGAAAGGTTGCCATAGCAGTCCACATAGATAGGCTTGCCCTCCAGAACCTGAGGAAGACCAAAGTAAAACATATATATTGTCACATCATGAGGATATAGTAAATACGAGGTTGGAAAAAAAACGTGACATTACCTCGATATCTTTGCTCCGGGCCACTTCTTCAAAGTTCTCCTGCTGCTCCAGAGTCTTGTCCACCTTGTCGTCCGTCATGCAGAAGCAGCGCAGCCGAGCCTCGATGGGGTCATTCATCTTGGCGAACACCACAAACTTGGCCAGGTACGGCACGCAGATCAGCTCCCGGTATAACTGAGACGCTAGACTCACCGTCTCAGGAATCTGGTGACAGTCTGCGAGCCAGAACCTGACGGGGGGGCACGATCCAAGGTGAGAGGTGAAAGGAACAACAGCACAGACGTAGTACAGTAAAACTACATCAAACATGTTATAAGGACTGCAGCTCCATTGTGCATGCATCCCTTAAAAGCAATAAATGAAACACATTTGGTTATTTATCCAAATGAGGCTCACAGATGCATGACAGCTGTGTAGTAATCTAATTGCACAGAACCAAAGTGAGCTCTGTTAAAGCCAGCCTGCACACTTCCCACATGATTCAAATTGAGTCACGATGAAAGGTCATGACTTTGCATTATTTAAACAGGAGGCTGGAACAAAGTCATTATAAAAGCAGAATGCAAAAAAATTTATGACCAACTTTTTTGAAGGGGCAATATCATGTAAAATCAACTTTTTTGAGTTTTATATCATGTTATAATGTTATACTGTCATGAAAAACATGCTCAAAGCCTTGCTCTGACTCATTCATGCATGTTTGAGAAATCCTGCAGCGTTTTTAGGCAGCCATGCTGAGGAGCAAAACGACAGGTGGGGACCAGAAACGCCTTTTGGGACCAGAAACGCCRCTGGGACGTGTCTTTAAGCTGAGCTTCCTCATCACGYAGCACARCTCCCCACCCCCTGCCCCCCGCCCATGACTCCTGCAGCCTCTCGGCAGTAACAAAGCAAACGAGTGAAACTGAAAGTGAAACTGAAGCTGTCTGCTGAGCTCCTAACTACTTCTCACTCAGTGAAGCTCTTTTCAGATTCAAAATACCTTTGAGGAAATGTATTTTCAGATGCCAAGTAAACTGCATCATAGTGCACGCGCGACCCCACCCCCCGCACTGAAATGGACGGGACAGAAGCAGAAGGTGGTTCTCAAAGAGACAGAGGCCAATTTCAAGGCGTTTAGAAGAAGAAGTGATGAGAAGATAAGTTTATTTTCTATTTAAACATAAAAACAGCATTTTAATAACAACTAAAGGCGACATAGATACTTTATTATGGTATAGTATTTAAATATATGTTTGAGAAACATATAATATTGCCCCTTTAATTAAATAAAATGTAATGGTCAATTTATTTAAAAAAGTTTAGAGTCTTCTGGAAAAGATGTTATTCTCAAAAGGGCATTAAAAATACCCTGACATTTTTTTTCTCTTTGCTGTGCTCAGCTCTGGCTCAGTGAGTGTAACCTGTGTCTCTCACCTGGCCGACACGTTTGTGGTGAAGGAGACACAGTCAGTTACAAAGGACAACGGTGTGGTTCCTGTGATGTCCTCCCACTGAGCGGGAGACGTCCCTCCTGTGTGAAACAAGACCAAAAGATGAACTCACAGCCTTTCTAACAAAACATGTTTTAACTTTAACACCGATTTTCTCTTCCTTCTTTTTCTACTCCGTTCAGAGCTCCCACAAATCTAAGGATGAACTGATCGTTAGGCAACAGGAGCCTMGTGATTATTAGTCCAAGCAGGGAGAATGTGGAGTATAAAAGGTGCTGCTGTGGTGTCGCCATGCTCGATCTGCAGCTCAGCTTGCCTGTGATGCTGCAGAGCAGACGCAAGCAGGGTGCGGCGTCGCCTCGCTTGCCGCTGGGATGACCTTCTGCCGATCTGGGCGGGACGGGGATGGTCATAGTGATCGGCTTGTGGAACTTCCTCCTCCTGGGCTCGACGGTGACGATGGGGCTGAAGGTGGCTCGGTTTCCAAGGACCGCCCTCACCATGTCATCTGGGACAGGCTGGGCCTAAGGAGAAATACAAATAAGCGAGAGGGAGGCAAAAGATTAAGGATTAATATTTGATCTGCTGACGAAAGTGTGCAGGCCTTTCCTTGGCATAACAAATATTCAACAGGAGTAGGTTGAGAATAAATAAGGAACATAATAATAATAATAATAATAATAATAATAATAATAATAATAATAATAATAATAATAATAATAATAATAATAATAATAAACACAATAAAGTCAAGAAACAGGTTCCATAAAAGGAAATGTACCTGCAGGCCAACACGGATCCTCTTTGTGAGCGCCCCCTGTGGGAACGAGGCCTGGACCATTGGGACGTTGTTGCAGGTCAGTATGCCTCCGTCAGGACCCATGTGGTTAGACTCCTGCTTGATCCTGGACACCACGGCGAAATACTGCGGGAAATCTCTGGTGACGATGCGGCAAATGCGCTTCTTCTCCAACTCGTCAGGACTGTCCAGTTCTGTTTCAAAAATACATTTTCACACTTGTCATTTCTTGACACAGTCAGTGACTAATGTTATGTACCGTATWTAACATATAACTGAGCAAGTGTGTACATACAGTAAATCAATGTTATATTTTGTTAATTTTACTTCAGTTCAATTAAAATTGTTGTATTTGTATTATTAAGTAAAAGTTAAAAAATGCTGGGAYAACCAAAAAAGAAAAAAATGTTTAACCCGAACCTGAATCAGAGCAGGAAACCAATCCAGTACTCAGCCTTGAATGTTTATTTACATYCATACAAAGAATATCAAAGTGGACAAAATTGCACCCCATCAGGACACAATAAAATGCTTTTTATAAAACCTTATCACACCGCAGATGTGATGTCATACCCCTAAAACAAGGAAGTTCCCTTAAAACGGTTCTACATTCTTAACATTTAAAACTGTTTACACTGCTGGAGCGAGGCACATGTTAAATAGAGACGTYTAGATTCTTTTACTGTTTAAAGTAAAAGATCACAGTTTATCACAAAGTATAAAATATAAAACTGTAAAATATTCAGCTAATCAACCACAAAATATCCAACAAGCTCACCCCATTTTTTTTAATGCAGGTAAACATCATTTTCCATGAATCCAATTACATCCTTCTTATGATAACATAATCGCAAAACTAAAAAAGTTCACCCAGAAATTACTATAGAAGTTTGGATAAAACATTTTTTTTGCATAAAAACATGCAAAAAAGTTCCAAAATGAGAGCGGCTCAGTTCAAACTAACCCCCAATTTCATCTTCAGAGTTGCTTAATAAGGATGATACAATATTTTATCCAACTCAAAACAAAAACTTGTTATAAATTTGTTTCAAACTACTCCTTCTGAGATCTTTGAGGACTGTAAAGTTTCTCTGAACTCATCGATGTGACATTTGTATTTGTTGTGTGAAATTATAAGATATGGAGCTCATAGTTAAAAAAGTGTCATCTCCAGTAAATTTACATGTTGGAGTCTTCTAAACTGAAGGCAATATTACTACAACTGCAAGTCTGTTGGCTTTTCATTGGTATGTCTAAAAATTTGCTTCTGCAGCCAGTATCAGAAAAAATCTTAAGATCTGAAATGGACTTATACCTCCAGCATACAAAGTAAAGTTATTCCTGTGTAATTCAGTTCATGTTCACCTACTGACGTATTGTTGGTAAGTAACCTCTTTACCTTCATCCATCCCAGCGAGCAGTTCAGTGAGATCTTCTGGACCGCCGTCAGACTGGTGCTCCTTCCAAGTGTCACCATTGTCACTCCTCAACACAATCAGCTCCCTTTCTTTCCCTCGCATTGAACCAAAATGAGGAATCTCCACAATCACAGGACTGAGAAGAAAACACAACATTACGGCTATGGCTACTGCTATAGCAATTCCAAATCCGTTCTTCAGCCAGGATTTCGGAACAGATGTTTCAAAGCCTACCCAAGGAACTGAGCGCCAGCAGGCCCCACCTCCACCAGCCGGCTGACCAGCCCCTCTCCCTCCACCATTGGTGGGGGATAGGCCAGCTTGTGCCTCTTAGCCAAGCGACAGGTGATGCGAGTGGGTGCCGTGCACTTCCTGGGAGGAATGATGATGCGCATGCCGTTGTGTCGGCTGCCTCTCATAGACCCACCACGGGCATCCACCATGAAGCTGACTAAGAACCTGCGAGAAGCAAACGGAACAGTTTCAAGAGAAGTAAATATATTAGTAAAAACAAAAGACAGAGAAGCCATGGAGACTAGTGAGGAAGACGATTCCCATGCTGTGATCACTGGACACCCAAATAAGAGAAAGAACAGATAGAAATTACCAGTAAAATACAGAAAGAGAGCAGGGAAGAGGATGACAGAAAGAAGAAAAAAAAAGAGATGCTTTGAGTTCTGAAACTTAGCACTTCTCACCTTCAACTACCTCAATTTAGAACATCAAGCATGGTCTGAAACTAAACAGGACGGGACTAAAGAGACAGGATGTTTAGTTTCCAGTTCTGGGGCTGAAGGTGAGGCTAATTGCTAAAGATTCAGATCTTCAAAAGCAGCGTTCAGTGATCAAACATTACACAATTTGTACAAATGTTTCACCAAGATTGATTTAATGTGACTGCAATTTTACGTGTCCTATTCTTAAAAAAAGAAGAAAAAAAAGACTTGGCATCCTAGTTACTGTATATAATCAAATAACAGCACAGTATGAGGAAAGATGAAGATGTGTTTAAGCTCAGAAAAGTCACCACAAATGTCGCTGAAAACTATGGTTTTCTATACCGTATGCTGTAAATGGCTGATTCTCTGAAGGGTTTTTAGGAAAACGTAATTCTAACATGCACAGTGAGGAAAAAGGAGAGAGAGAGGAAAAAAAAGACTCCCTATACACTTCTAAAAGAAAAGAAGCTTCAGAACACACAGATGAGACGGGCACAGACTGGAGAGAAAAGAGACAGCGATGAGATGAAAAAAAGGGAGGCGGAGTTGGAGGAGGGAGTGACGTCACTGCGGCATCAAGGGAGCGAGCAGCGAACTCAGTCATCACCTGGAGTCATACTGAGGGAGCGGGGAGGAGAAGCTGCAAAATAAACACACGGAGACAACGCAGGAGGCAACACCCCCCCGGAACCTGGTTTTAGTATCAGTTTCACAAGCACCGTTGGGATCTGTAATAACTACTGAAGATGGACGAAGACTAACAACTACGGGTGACAAAATTAAGAGAGGCGAAAAAAAAAGACAAAACGACAGTCATGTCTCCTCAACCTTAGAAGAAATTATGAGTCAAAAATAGAAACGAGACAACCAAAATTAGATGACAGATCCCAGCTATTTATGTCTGAATATAAAAAAAACCTTTCAGCTCATTTATTTTATTCTATTTTTTTGTGCAAGCACAGCGCAGTTTATTTAAAGCACATCGTCGCATTTTATGATGTCATATATTCAAAGTGTGTGCATGACATTTTATCTGTTTATCCAAATGAGCTCACACAGAGCCTGCAGTTTGTTTGAGTAATGATTAAAATAGCAAAATGCCTGCGAACGTGGAAGGACTTCTGGCCCATGTCTCCTGACTTGCAGTAGAACAGGAGAGCTTTAGCAGACATGGATTGTATTTTAGTTTTATGCTTCGGTGCTGTAGCTTTCTGCAGAAGCAACCCTGCACCCTGCCTGCATCAGTGCAGGTGGTGCTGACTATTGACTCTTTGAGTGTGAACCAAAAAATAAAGACCAAAAAGAAAAGCACCTTTATGCAGTAGTTGTACAGATGTGCATTGTCTCTCTTAAGTGTGTTGGGAAACAGATCCTGGCGTGTCGGATGAGGTGTTCTTACCCAGAGTGAATGGGGCTGGACACGGCGTTGTGGCTGTGGTCCATCATGTCCGGAGTCCAGCTATAACGCCGCATACACTCGGAGCTGTAGTCTCTGGTCGCAGCAAGGTGCTAAGTGAAGGACGCAAGGATACAAGTGAAGAAGAAAGGATTGAAAGATAAAACAATAACAAAGGTGAAGGAGAGGAAAAGACWAAATGGAACCAAATGAAGTCGAACAAAAAGACAAAAACAAAATAAAAGGGCAAACACTGCAGCACAGATGTACTGTAAATGTCCCTACTGTGTTGTCATGCATTGTTTGGAACATTTGACGTTTTTGTTTCCGACTGTCTCACAAGTTCACCAATGACTAATAAAATATAGCAGCGTGCAGTAAACATGGGCATAAAAACACAACAATCATATCAAAAAAAAAACTGAGACAATAAATGAGCTTTGATACAATACTGTATCATGATTGCAAATAATAAATCATATGCACCAATAAGAGAATAGGAAATCCCCAGCCAATATAAACAGAAATAAAAGGCAAGTATGAGTTTAATGTAAACTCAAAAGTAAAAACACATTCAAATGGAAACTGAACCCACTCTGACACTGATTTTAAATGAAGTAGAAGAACAAATCAATTGAACATGTCAAAATTAATACCTTACTGAGGGGGTCGACCAAGTACGAAATGTCTTTACAGACACTCTGAAGCTTAGTGGAGARGAAAAGCAGGTTTAGAAGTTGCATTCTGGACAATGTGTGGTCCAGGAAATTTATTTACAACAGCTTGGTTCAATGAAAAAAAAATACCACCAATTCCATGTACTTGCATCTCCTGGAAAATGGGATTATAGTCCATGTTTGGTGTAGACTACTTAACATATTTATAAAATATGTATGCTGGGGCCATCTATACTTTAGCAATCAGAAGTTCAGCAGGGGATTACATTTTTCTAGGAGAGAGAAACTGGGAGCCCCCAAAGTTGTTTGGTTTGAATGAACTTTTTGTCGAGGTGCTATGTGTGCTCCCTCCTAATATTTTGATAAAAGCACGCAACYATGTTTCTGTTGGTGCAAGTAAAGCTCCCCTGCTCCCTGCGTTATTCTAACCAGCTGGGGTTGGGATTAGCCCACTGGAGGAAAAACAGAGAACACTTAAAGTTATGAAGAAAATCAAACATTCACCGGGGATTCCTAAACACTGGATAATTCCAGCTTGCAAACCAGTGAGACAAGGATACCAAAGAAGGACAGAGTTAAACGTGGACTTACGAGTATGACAAGAAGAAAAGTTGAAGGGAAAAAAGCTGGATCTTACCGTGTCCTTCGTGGGGGCCAGGATTTCCTCAATCATCATACTGTCCCGGGCAAAGGAGCTCCGGTTGAGCGTGTTGGACCTATCCGAACTGAATGAGCGGAGGCTACATGTTACCATGCAACCCAACGCCACGGGCAACAACAAGTGAGGGGTGGAGGGCGCGTGGCATAAAACAAAAAGCAAAAGACTCGTTACTACATGCAACCTCCAGGGAACCAAAATGTACTTACTGGACAGAGTCTAAAAGTCAGGAGGGAGAAACTGAGCCAGGCGGAAGAGCTCAAAGTTAAACAAGGCTAAGATACCGCAGCAGTTTATTCAGAGATGGAAATGAGAAGTGAGGTCACTTTGTTTGCCCTTAGAGATAAAGCAAGAAGGCGAGAAGAGACGACAGGTGAGAGAAAACAGTTGGAAATGMTTCTCCAAGGTGTGGTGGGTGTGCCCTACTATTAGACGGCCCACGTCTAAAAAAGATCAMTGGCCAAAACTTAGATCCACCAGACTGACAGGTGAGCATAACAAGTTTTTAAGTTTGTGTGGACAGCAAAGGGYAASAAGATTAAACKCAACTKAACTGTTAAAATCTGATTTAAGCCRAAAGATTAGCTGGCCTGTTTCATWTCCTGAAAAGGAAAGCTTGTGTTCTCTATGGGCCTTGCTGCAATCTCGTTTTCTTGCTGTGTGCAGTGATGTGTGCCTATTTTTGCAGCATCAGTGCAGTGCTCTAGATCCATTCGAGGTTGATTTATTAAAAAAATAAACAAATAATTCAATAAAAATGCTTTTCTTTTTCGCCACAAGTTTAGAAGGCACAAAATCTTTGTGACTGCACGGTTTAAATTAGATTTTCTTCAGCATTATTACAGGAGAAGTTACTTTGTTGCTGCTAATTTATCTTAAATAAGGATGGAATATTTAGGGACAAGGCTTATTTCCCTCTGTCATATTTGTTTTTTTATGAGCGTATACCGTGTGCGTATACTGATGCGCCACGTATGTAAGAGGATGAGAGCGAGAAGTGGGGGCCGGGGAGGCAGAAATTGCAGAGCTCAGCGAGTTCGAGTGGGGACACTATTCAGCACAGAGAGAAGCCCTTTATTCAGCAGAGCCTGCCTACACCATCGAAGTAACCCAGCAACTCTGCACAGACTGAATGGACCCGCTGGCAGGGCAGGACCATGTTTTGACACCCGACTCCACTCCATCCTCACCCTGTTTGTTCTTCACAGCTTCCTTCCTCTTCATTCTGTGCATCCTTTTCTCCCTCAACCTCTTTCTCCCTCTGTGTTTCTGTCCTTCATTCTTATTTATTGCAACCCCCCCCCCCACCCGACTCACGATTTGGTTTTTGTTCATCAAATCATGTGAGGATATTTTACTTTTACTTTTCCTTCGTCTCGCAGTTTTCCTTTTCCCACATCTTTCTCAGCTATCTTTCTTCCTCTTTCCATCACGCTCCATTCGTTTTACTGGTAAAAACTCAAACTGTCTGACTTTACACAACAGCTCCACTTTTAACCTTTTTTGACATCAGATTATACAGTACCGTGCAAAAGTCTTGAGTCATCCCTCATTTCTTTTTCAATMATAGCACAAAAAGTAAAGAAATTTGTGTTTGGTAGATTATTTCTTTGTTGTAACAATGCTTCTTATACCGCTGGAAAGCCTGTTAAATTCCCGTTTAAAATGGTGCCACATTTGTAAGGAACATGCATTTTGTGRGATGAGCAGTAYAGCTGAATGGGTTGCGCACATGAAAAATTTGCCATTTGTGTCAAACAGCTTATTTTGCTTTTGCTATTGAGGCTTTGAGCTTCAGGTGGTCCCAGGTGCTGTCTGTAGCAATGGATCCCAAACTTTTCAGCTTTTGACCCYCAAAATACCAGCAGCAGAGACACGTGCCCCCAGCTGTTGTTGGTTGATAAACATTGTTTTCACGTCAAATAAACWAGAGCATAGTAACATTATTTATTATGCTATTTTTGTCCATTTTAAGTACATTAATATTATTATTTTGTAACAACAAAGGCAAAAATAAGTCGTTTTTTGGTGTAATTAATTTAGAAAATATTTTCAGGGCCCAACCTTGGTGTTTTAGGACCCCACTGCGTGTCCCAACTCCAACTTTAGGAACTTACTGGTCTATAAGATTTATTGCCAAGAAGCATTGTTACAACACGGAAATAATCTACCAAACACAATTTGCCTTCACTTTTGTGCTAAGTATACTTTTTTCAGCCAATTTGAGAAATTCAAGCTTAAGGCCAGTTAAATTATTACAAGAAAAGTCTGGGGGGAAAAAATCCCCAAAATACTTTTGCACATCACTGTACAGATTAACGTTTCAATGGTTTGAAATTACCACGCGGGGGTGTAGACTCACAAAGACGATCCCAGACAGTTTGAGTCAATGAAGTAATGCTCAGCATCACTCAGCGAAAGCAAAAAACAAACAAACAAACAAAAAAAAAACAGGCTTTAAATTTTCCATCTCTGCAAACTGTTGCCTAATCCCAAATAATTCCAGGAGCTGTGCATTTATTAACACTCCGACAGGGAGGATAAGCAGGGAGGATTATCAGACGATGACGCGTTTGATCCCTGGAAGTTACACTTGGGGTGACTGTCCAAACTTAAAGTGCCACATGAGAACTAAAAGGGAAAAAAATACACAAAATAAGCTCAGAAAAGGCTTGTTTTAAGGGTTTCTTTTTACACCAGTTTCAAACAAAAAAAAATGTTATAATGGATGACATGATGAATTTGTTACACTGATACAAAAACATGGTAAGAAATGAAGTGATGCTATCAAAATACACGTTACTGCAATAACATGACGCATGTTTTCAGAGAAACAGCAACACTTGTCGACACCAATGGGAATTAAATGACYTGGTTTTGGGTGGAGGTTTTCACACGGGTGTTAGATCTGGGGTAACAAGGAAGGGACACGGTTCACAGCTTATGTTTTCTACTACTACGCTACTAATAGCACTACTCTTTTCTTACCTGATTCTAGGGCTAGAATGAGGGAGCGGAAAAAAAAGGAGAAGAACAAAACAGCAGAGTGAAAAGCAAAGCATTTTTAAAACATTCAAGCATGACATGGCTTTTTTCTGGGGTTTTTTTTTTGTACAAATCCATATGATACTGATGCTGTGGCTTTGCATGACTGCACTCCAACTCAGCAAAATTTTTACGAGTGTGTGTTTGTGTGTATGTGCAGCCCGATAAAAGCAAACCATGCAATGTCGATGTCATAAAACAGAAAGGTAAGGAAAAGTAAAGAGCCTGCTCAGCATCATACATTAACTGAATGAATTATTTCATACATTTCACAGCATTCACACTCCTGTAAAGAACAAAAACAGTACGTTTTTTCTGACTATATTCAGCTGGATTCAGTATTTGCAAAAGAGCAATACAGGAATAAATTTTGCTAAAAAAAACATTGCAAACAAGCACAGGTAACTGTAAACACTGTTAAGTTACTGTCATATTCTACACTGTTCAGTGTGTTTTCTATATTTTTCGCGTCACAAACTGTGAACAGCAATCAAAAGTACCAACTCTTTCCAGTGTTTTCCTTCAAAAACAACTGCGTTCACATGGAATCCCTCCATCTCTTGTTTGCTGAACCCTGCTGATGTTAGCAGCTTCCTGCCACAGTTCACCTTGTWGTTTTTATCAATACGCCCATCACACAGCGCCTCTGCCATGTGTTTTCTGTGGCCCCAGTGCAACTGGGATGTGTTTTCATCGCAGCCATTGCCAAGTTTCCACAACGCGCTTTTTGTCTCACTGTAGTTTTCTATCTGTGCAGCTTAACTCTGTGTTACACTGTGGAGCTTTTGTAGTTTTTGCTTGAATCAGGTCAAGCAAAACGCTGAATCATCCTGTCAGCTTAGATCACTAAGTGGCAACTTTCCAGCTACTTTACTTTTGGTGATTTCTGTCACCTTTGRGTGTAATGTAAACTGTATCTGCACTGGAATGTAAAAAAAAAAAAAAGTACTAAAGATGTAAACAAATCCAGTCAGCTGAGCTTACATTTAGTGACAGGTTCTTACCTGGCTGAGCGGGCTCCTATGCTGAAACCTTGGTAGCCCTCCTGTGGAAGAGAGTCGTCCCCCAGCTCCTTGAGATCCTGAGGCCGCAGGTATTTGTCAGTGTCACCGGTCATGGCATCCTCACCTGGGTGAAGGGGGAGGAAACAACAACCTCCTGTTAACTCCAAAAGCAAATCCAGGTYAGGCAGGCAATGCGGCACCCTATAAAAGAACAGGCCCCAATGAATGCATCAGTCTCCTAATTTGATTACAGTAATCACAGAGAGCACTGGGCAGRAATCAACAGATTTCTATTAGAATATCACTGCAGAAACCCACTGCAGCCTGTCTCCTGCACTGATCTATTCATTAACACTCATTGCAGCTATTTTGGATAAAAAAAGAAAAAGAAAAACCTAATCAGAGGCAAGCAGTAAAACAACTTTGCGGTAAATCTGGAGAGGAACGCAGCTCCTTCCCAGCACTCAAAGCCCCACAGCAGAGCCTGAGCTCAGTCAAAAAAAATAAAAAAAATAAAAAAGTGCAAGGAAAGGCTCAGAAGCGCAGCGCACCTCGATCGGCGGACCGGTGGACGATGACACGCCGATCAATGAAGCCGCCGGAGCGGCTGTAGTGRTTCCCCTTGTCCCTCATGTCCGGTTCTGTCCTGCCCGCATCATTCCGCTCGTTCACCGCAGCCCCTCCTCCTGCCTTCAACACTGCCGCACTCCGAGCAGAGACGACCCGCGTCAAGCTGGAGGACACGGACTGCGAGCGCTTCCGGTGTCAAATTTCAAAATAAAAGCTACACTAATTTTTAGGTCAAAAAAGTTATGCTGAGACATGCAGAGTTTTATCATCTTGTTGTCATATATGCTTTTTGAAAAAAAAAAACACAACAACAACAAAAAAACTCTATTCGACTTCAAATAAATTCAAATTTAAATTAGCAGAATAGCTTCTGCAGACCAGCTCCCCATGACTTAGAAAAGAGAAGTGTGCAAAGAAAATGGATGGATGGATGGATCAATATGTCAATTAGCTGTGTGTGGCACCACAAATGGGAGAATGGGGAAAAAATATCTAACCTTTTATCAGYTTAAAATTTATTTAGTTTTTAGAATAAGCCCTATTAACTCAAGTTTATGAAGATAACTTGATCTGTGGGTTTTAACAGGTCTCTCTTGTAAATGAGACAATGAGTCTCAAGAGATCATCTTGTATAAATAAAGGATAAATAAATAAAAAATAAAATTCTCAGCCTGTTACTTGAGGTTATATGGTGCAGATGGTGGCTATTTCTTGATGAAAAAATATCTAAGATGCAGTCGAGACCAACAACTGTTCAG